CCTCCCTGGACTGACCTATCCCCTTCCTAACTCCCTACCTACACTCACCTTTACTGGCTCCATCCCCGCCTCTTCGACCTGTTTGTTTCCTCTCCACCTATCCTCTCCTCTAACCCTCTTCTATCCGCCTCCCACTCTCTCCCTATTTATTTCAGAACCCCCTTCCCCTCCCCCTTTTCTGATGAAGGGTCTAGGCCCGAAACGTCAGCCTCTCTGCTCCTATGATGCTGCTTGGCCTGCTGTGTTCATCCAGCCTTGCACCTTGTTGTCTGGGACTCTACTTAGTGGAGATTAGAAGAATGAGAGGTGACTCATTGAAACATTTGGGTTCTGAAGAGGCTTGACAGGGTAAAAGCTGAGAGGCTGTTTCCCCTTATGGGACAGTCCAGAACCAGAGGGCATAATCTCAGAATAAAGGGGTGCCACTTTAAGACTGAGGTGTGAGCATTGTGAATCTTTGGAACTCCTTTCCAAAGAAAGCTGCAGGGTCAGAGTCAGAGTCAGAGTCCTTGGGTATAATTAAACTTGAAGTAGATAGATTCTCAATCCACAGGGAAAAGCAGGATAATGGGGGAAATGTTGGAAAGTGGATGTGTAAGAATGTTGGATCAGCCATTATCCTATTAAATGGCGGAGCAGGCTCGAGGGGCCAAATGGCCTAATCCTGTTCCTACTTCTTCTGGTTTTATGATCTCCTTCTTCAGCTTGGCATCCACTTTTGTCTCAGTCTTTGAAACACCATAACATTTGATTTTCTATATTCAAATCACTGTGTAAGTATAAGGTGTTGTTTGTGCCAACTGGTATTAATAATACTTAAGTTTCAGAGCTTGGAAATGTGCACAGCAAGTCTAAAGGCACAGTATCATTAGAACCAATTAGAGGTGAATTGAGATGGTATCACTTCACCAAGTAAGCTTACAGCAGCTTTTCCTTCTCTCCCAGCATGTTGTCTCTCCTGTAGGAGTATTATTTCTGCCTTCTTCAAGCACTTGTTACACAGATTAATAGGTCTGTCATTATGAAAGTATTCTACTGATATCACACCGTGACCTCGGTTTGTGATCCCAGACATTTTGGCATCACCTCGATGCTATTCACATGAGGTAACTGCATCATAGAGAAATACAATTTGGATTAATTTTTTTATATATTTCTGTCCATTCTTTTCCACAATAGAGTTGAGAAGGATGAGGGGGGGTCTAATTGAAACTTACAGAATACTGAATGGCCTGGACAGAGTGGATGTTGGGAAGATGTTTTCATTGACAGAAGAGACTAGGACCCGAGGGCACAGCCTCAGAGTAAAGGGAAGGCCTTTTAGAACGAAGATAAGGAGGAACTTCTTTAGCCAGGGAGTGGTGAATCTATGGAATTCACTGCCACAGAAGGCTGTGGAGGCCAGGTCATTGAGTATATTTAAGACGGAGATAGATAGGTTCTTGATTGTCAAGGGGATCAAGGGTTACAACGAGAAAGCGGAGAATGGGTTGAGAAACTTATCAACCATGATTGAATGGCGGAGCAGACTCAATGGGCTGAATGGCCTAACTTCTACTCCTATATCATATGGTCTTATGGTCTCAACATAGCTGCTTGGTATATTTTCCTCTAGCATTGGAAACGTCCTAGATGTGTACTCCCTTTGGTAATTAGATATGCTGACTGGAGCAGATCCCTAAATGAGACTTAAGATGTAAAAGCCACTCCTGACTCTTCTTTTACTTTTTCAAAGCTATTCATTTTACATAAAATGGGAGGAAAATCTACTGCCCATAATATCACCTATAATAACACAGTTTTACACAGTATATTATAATTTTCATTTGCTCTACTTCCATCTATAAACCTAACAAATTTTGTGATCCTGAAAACATCAGAGAGAGCAGACAGCCTGAAATGGAGATCACACTGTTAGAACTGACTTTGAACAACAGTAAAGACATAGCAGGAGGCAATAAGATGGGGTATCAATAAAGTCTCTAATTATCTCTAATTGCCAGTCTTATTTACCCGTTGCCAGCACTGGTCAGCTCAGTACTTCAAAGACCTCAGGCTTCAGGTCAATGCCTTTAGGAACTGGGCAGACAGCTTTTTAAGTTGTGAGTATCATTGTGTAGGAATTATCAATTGAATACCTTAGGTGCATAAAGTGTTGCTCAAAAGGTTTTTCCTTAACTTTCATTATTTTAACGAGAAATCCATAATGCAACCCGATTTTATTCAAACATCAGATAAACCAAGAGCTGGATTTTACAGGACACCATATTCTTAGTTTCCTTCCCCAGCTAAAAGTTAGAAGAGACACTGACAGCATCTCCATTGCAATATAAGACTGAGAGCCTCATTTGGTGTTTTAAGGCAAAACTCCCATCCCGTCTCGGTAGGAAGTTCTACCTTGGGGAGCTGCTGGCCAAGTGATCGTGTAGCCCAAGTGAATACTGGCCACTGCTATGTCTACAGAGAACTCAACAAAGCTGAGAAGCCTAGATTAGTCTGGGATGGGAGTTCTAGCAAGGAGTGGAGATGGTTGGAGGAGTCATGCTTAAGAGGGAAGAGGAGAAGTGAAAAGAGCAGTGACTTTGGTGAGGTGCTTTCAGGGGACCCATGGCACTCACAATGGAGATCTTCCACCCTTCATCTGACACCAGCTCATGTAGCAAAAGCTGCCAAGCTCCCCGCATGGCATGAGCTTCCCCCTGTTGTGTGTAAAGTACCAGTGGGGACAGAATTATGCCCAAGAATTGGCCTCTGAGAGGCTTCAGTAGGCCATGGGTGAATGCATTGCTCAATCTTTTGGCAACTTTTTCTTTAAATCACAAAACAAAATATTCTTTTTTTTCTTTTTGCACAACCAGAAACACACTACTCAAATATACTTTGCACTATCTCTTAAGTAAACATTTAATTTGCCCAGAGGTGGCATGGTGGCTCAGTGGTTAGCACTGTTGCCTCACAACACCAGGGACCCAGGTTCAATCCTAGCCCCTGGTGACAGCCTGTGTTGAGTTACACATTCTCCCTGTGTTTACATGAGTTTCCTATGGGTGCTTGGTTTCTTCCCACAGTCCAAAGATGTGCAGATTAGGTGGGTTAGCGATGCTGAATTGCCCAATGTGTCCAGGGGTATGCAGGTTAGGTGGATTAGCCATGGTAATTACAGAGTTTGGGTGAGATGGGCCAAATGGCCTCTTTTTGCACAGTTGGGATTCTAGACTCAGATTTGGTGATCCATTTTACCTTACAGATACAATATTAAACATAATAATTCTATAAACCCCATAACAATACTAAACCCAATTGTAGATCCTCATTGAAGTCTGCATAATCATTATAGACTAGGAATTAAATATGGGACTTTAGGTACAGGGTTTTTGGGGGAAATACATTCCCTGTTTGCCTTTGACCTCACTGCCCCATTCATTCTTTGGTATGTCTCTTTAGTTATCTTGGCCTCTCCACTCTATTTCCAGTTTCAGGAAATGCCTGATCAGAATGGACAAGTTGAACCAAAGTATCTGTTTCCATGTTGTTTATCTCTGTGACTTTGACAGCACAGTGAATGCAAATCATGATTCAGAAGAAAGGAATCTGGATATTCCACACTGATCATATCCTTAAGTTTCGGAACTTTTGAATGCGAGTGTCATTAACATTAAAAGGATTACTATGCTCAGGGTCCCTCAACTGACATTAACATACAATTATATTACTAAAAGAGGTATTATCCTGCTGAAATATGCTCAGTAGAGCTTTCTTAATTTGAAAGACAAAAAATCTTTATAGCATTTTTACTGTGATGAGATCACTTGTGAAGTGCAATATTGATTCTTCATGTTGTCAATTTGTAAGTAAAGTGTACCAAATGCATGTAAAAGCTTTCATGCAATAAGTGGAGACTACCACCAGGGGTCATGGGGTTGTGGAAAGCGAAGGATTGCCAATTTGTGAATGTGGATTATTTTAAGGACATCATATTTGTATAGCTAATAATTGTGCAGCCTTTGTGCGCGACAGAGTTCTCGTGATTCTGATACCAGGGAATTTCCAGTCTCCACTAACCGCCGGCTCTACTTTGCAGGTTTACTGGTTTCATTTGAGCATAAGAACAAAGGAAATGGGAGCAGCAGTAGATCATAAGGCCACCTCAAGTATTCAAAACAATTATGGCAGTTCTTCTGCCTTTCCTTTGCGCTTTCCATACTCCTTAATTCTCTAAGAGTCTAAAAATCTACATTAATTTCGAAGGTTTGTAGCCCTCTGAATGAAAAAAATCTGTTCTCGTCACAATCCTAATTGATCAACTCATTATACCATAGAACCATAGAATCCCTACAGTGTGGAAACAGGCCCTTCGGCCCAACAAGTCCACACCGACACTCAGAGCATCCCACCCAGACCTATACCCCTATAACCCACCTAATCTACACATCCCTGTACACTGCAGGCAATTTAGCATGGCCAATCCACCTAACCTGCACATCTTTGGACTGTGGGAGGAAACTGGTGCACCCAGAGGAAACCCACGCAGACACGGGAAGAATGTGCAAACTCCACACAGACAGTCGCCTGAGACTGGAATCGAACCCAGGTCGCTGGTGCTGTGATGCAGCAGTGCTAACCACGCAATGCTTTCTGTGGGTGCAAGTTCTTTGCAATTGGGAACTAATGGAAAATATCTTCAGGTAGTAATACCTGTTAGGAAAAGGCAAGTCATTGTCCTTCAGTATTGTGAAAGTACACCTCTTTAATTCACTGTGCAAGCTGTTATTTTACCCTTTATGTCTTTGTCCCCTTTCCTGCATTTAATATTGCTATCCTTTACTTGTGCATATCCATCGATCCTTGTCAGCGTGCTATTTGCTGAAGGTGTAGGTTAAACCAGTTCCAATCTTCATTGGAATCCTTTGCCCTACAGAAGAAAAGTAATTATAATTCGTGGTGAAAGAGAATGGGCGTCTTTTAACCTCCCCTAACCTAGCCAAGAATAGTGATGGCAGTCATAAGTCTACAGGCCAGGACCTCCACTAGTAAATATTATCCTGAGACTATTCCCCCATCAGAAACAAAAACAGAAGTTGCTGAAGAAGCTCAGCAGGTCTGGCAGCATCTATGAAGAAAAGTCAAAGTTAACATTTCAGGTCTGGTGACCCTTCCTCAGAACTGCGGAAGGGTCACCAGACCCAAAATGTTAACTCTGATTTTTTTCTTCACAGATGCTGCCAGACCTGCTGAGCTTTTCCAGCTACTTCTGTTTTTGTTCCAGATTTACAGCATCTGCAGTTCTTTCAATTGTTACTTACTATATCCCCATATAGTTGATAAACTAACCAGGGAAATGACCTCTCAGCATCTACCTAGTCAACCCTCTTCAGAATCAGGTATGTTTCAATTAGATTAGTTCCTATTACTCGCTAATCTAGAACATAAACTTCACTCTCTCAGTCTGTCATCCTAGTACAACTCTGTTATCCCAGAGAGCAATGTACAGCACCTTTGCAGCGCCATGTTCATTGCAAGTATGTCTGTCCTTAAATATAACTATCAAAGCTGCACATATTGTTTACTGTGTGATCTTACCAAATACCAATGCATTTGTAGCAGGATTTCTTTGTTCTTCTACTCCAGTCCCCTTACAAAAAATCCTGCATTTGCCTTCCCTATTACAAGCTATATTTGCATTCTAATTTTTTGTGTTCCCAAATCTCTCAGGACATTAACATTTAAAACTTCCCCCTGCATTTTTAAAAATATTCTGCTTTTCAGTTGTTATTACCAAAGAAAACAGCCACACATTTTCCTCCAACTACCACTTTGTTTCTTGTTCACTAAACTGTGTATTTCTTTGCAATCTCTTTGTGCCCTCCTCACAGCTTACCTAGTGTTGTATCATCAACAAAGCCAGGTATGTTACATTACTGGTGGTCTTTTTATTTCAGTCATCAATATAATTTGTAAATAGCTGAGTCCCCAGCACTGATCTTTGCAGCGTTACTTACAGCCTGCTGACTTGAAAATGCTCCTTTCATCCCTCCATTCTGCTGCCTGTCCATTACCCTATTTTCTATCCATACTGTAATGACCAGAAGAATCTTATTTCTTTGTAAAAGAAAAGTTCTATTTCTAATTCTCCTGTTTAATCTTTTTTTTAAACAATTAGTCAACATTGCCAGTCTCTAAGATAGCTGCTAGAATCATACGGCTAAATTAAGCTGAAACTCTCCAGAATTTTCTGCAAGTTGAAGCCTGTGAAACAAAGCTAAAGCCATCTCCTTCAACACCTGAAAACTTGGACAGCTACCTATAGTGACTACACACTGTCTAAAGATCTCCCACAGTGGTTAGCACTGCTGCCGCACAGTGTCAGGAACCTGGGTTCGATTCCGCCTTCGGGCGACTGTCTGTGTGGAGTTTGCACATTCTCCCCGTGTCTGTGCGGGTTTCCTCCAGATATTCCTGTTGCCTCCCACAGTCCGAAGATGTGCAAGTTAAGTGGATTGGCCATGCTAAAAATTGTCATGTAGTGTCCAGGGAGGTGCAGGTTAGGTGGGTTAGCCATGATAAAAATCCATGTCGAGTTACAGGGATGTCATGCAGGGGTGGGTCTGGGTAGGATGCTGTTCGGAGGGTCAGTGCAGACTTGATGGGTTGAATGACCTGTTTCTGCATTGTAGGGATTCTATTATTCTAACTCACAAAGAACACCATAACACAAAGAATTCCAAGTTATTACAGTCTGATACCAAAATGGTGATGGCATTTCAATTAAATGTGAACCACACAGCACCTCTTCATCTTGCAATGGGCATTTTGATAAGGTCAATCAAAGTACCTCATTTCTCTGAATGGCTTAGCAGAAACCATCTTGTCAGGTGTCTGAAATATGTGCTTGTTGAATTGTGTAAGCATACAGTTTTGACTTCTGACTTCAATCAATGTCTTAACTTAATGAGAAGAGAGCCTCAGGCCTCAGCAGATAAAAGGCCTGTTTCCGCTGTCTCTCTCTCACACACACACAACTGGCTTATTCCCTGAAAGAGTCACGGAATTTGCCTGCCAGACTGGTCTAATTCGTTGAGTGCAATCCATCTGCATCGAAGTTCCCACAAAAAGAATTGTGACAAGATCAGCCAACCAAAAAAACTCACAATTGGACATTAAATTATTGCAAACTACGTCACCTGAACTGATACCAACATCTTTCATTTTTAAGAAATTCAGCTTTTGTAACTTTCTTCCCTTTCTGTTTTCTAATTTGTACGCTTGTGTGTGAATGAAGTAGTAAAGCAATATCCCTGTGTTATTTATGTTTTATTATGAAACCCCATCTTTGATTTCACCTTAAAGGTTTTTGATGTGGGTTTATTTCAAAATTGGAATCCAAAAACCAGAGCTTGGGGAGCAGTCTTCGGCCTTTCTCAGTAATGGACAGAAGTGAAAAAAGAAAGGAGTAAATCAAATCATACCTCACTGTCGTGGACTTAAGACTTGAAGCAATTGTCATGCTTCAATTGTCATGATTGGTCATGTGAAATTGCCCGTAGTGCTCAGGGATTTGTACATTAGGTCGGTTATAGGGGCTTGGGTTTGGGTGGGTGCTCTGAGGGTCTGTGTGGACTTGTTGGGCCGAAGGGCCTGTTTCCACGCTGTAGGGATTCTATGATCTATGATGATCAATCATATTTTAAATTCAACCCCAGTCCCCCTTTGTCTGTGACAATGCTAATATATCGCTAATAATATAATCCTAACTCCATAGCCTTATGTTGAGTATTAACTTTTTGAGTAATACTTTATCAAATACCTTTTTGAAGTCAAAGAATACCATATTATTGGATCTCCACATCTCAGATCTAGACTTACCTACCAGAGGGAACTGAGAGACTGTTGTGTGCTCTGCTTCATGGAGACATGGCTCACCCCTGCCATTCCTGACTGCACCCTACAGGCTGACGGGTTCTCCATGCACCGCATGGACTACAAGGTGTCCTCGGGTAAGGCAAATGGCGGTGGGGTATGATTCCTGATCAACACCTCCTGTGCTCAGATATAGCGACCCTGGCGAGCCATCGCTCCCTGGACCTAGAATACCTTACAGTAAAATGTCGTCTCTGCTACCTACCATGAGAGTTCACCTCCATGATCCTGACAGCTGTCTATGTACCACTCCATGCAGATGTGAAGAATGCCTAAATGAGATTTACACTGCCACAAACACACTAGAGACAAAACTCCCCACGGCCCTATTCATTGTGGCCAGCAACTTCGACCAAGCCAACCTCAAGCAGGTGATGCCTAAGTACCACCAACACATCTCCTGCTCTACCAGGGGACCGAACATTCTGGACCACTGCTACACAACCATCAAAGACGCCTTCTGTCCCATCCCCTCCCACAATTCAGAAAATCAGATCACAGCACTGTGTTCCTCCTTCCTGCTTACAAGCAGAAGCTGAAATGGGAGAATTCCTCGCGAAAAGAAGTACAGCACTGGTCCAAGGCATGGGAAGAGCGTCTCCGGGGCTACTTGGAATCGGTGGACTGGACCGTGTTCAAGTGTTCAGCAGAGAACCTGGACGAGTACGCCACCACAGTCACGGGCTTCATTAGCAAATGTGTGGAGGACTGTGTACCAAAGAAGTCAATCCGAGTGTTCCCCAGCCATAAACCTCGGATGAACCAGGAAATCCACTCCCTACTGAACATCAGACATGCAGCATTCAATTCGAGTGACCCGGATCAATGCAGGAAATCCAGGCATGACATCCTCAAAGCAATCAGGAAGGCCATAAGGCACTGCCAGACCAAGTTAGAGGCCCAAACCTACCAAACAGACTCCCGCCACCTATGGCAAGGCCTAAACGAAATTACGGGATAGAAAATGAAGCAGCGCAAGATAACGGACAAAGACACATCCCTCCCTGACGCGCTCAATGCTTTCTATGATCGGTTTGAGCAGAATGCCAGCATTGCGGTCATGCCTGCCCCGACAGCCCCAGACACACCTGTTGCCTCTGTCACTGCTTCAGACGTCAGATTGGTCTTCCTGGGAGTCAACCCAAGGAAAACGATGGGTCCGGACGGTGACCCCGGTAGAGCACTCAGATCCTGTGCAGGCCAACTGGTAGAGGTATTCACCAACATCTTCAACCTCTCCCTCCTAAAAGCCAAAGACCCCACCTGCTTCCAGAAGACCATCATCATCCCCGTACCTAAGAAAGCACGTGCAATGTGCCTTAGTGACCATTGCCCTGTGGCTCTGACCTCAATCATGAAGTGCTTCGAGAGGCTGGTCATAGCCCACATCAACTCCAGTCTCCCAGTGTGCCTCGATCCCCTACAATTTGCCTACCAATGTAACAGGTCCACAAAGGATGCCATATCCCTAGCCCTGCACTCATCTCTGGAACATCTGTACATCAAAGACACCTATATCAGACTCCTGCTTGTTGACCAAAGCTCCACCCTCAACACCATTATCCCCTCCAGACTGATCTCAAAACTCAGTGACCTTGGTCTTGACTCTGACCTCTGCAATTGGATCCTCAGCTTTCTGACCCACAGGCTGTAATCAGTGAGGATCAGTAACTGCATCTCCTTCACAATAACACTCAACACTGGAGCCCCCCAAGGATGTGTCCTCAGCCCCCTACTGTACTCCCTGTACACCTACAACCGTATTGCCAAATTCCAAATGAATGCCATTATAAGTTAATTGACAACACCGCTGTAGTGGGATGGATATCTAACAATGACAAGTCAAACTATAGAAAGGAGATAGACGGCTTGGTGACATGGTGCAGTGAAAACAATCTGTCTCTCAATGTTGGCAAAACTAAAGAACTGATCATTGACTTCAGGAAGAAAGGAGGACAACACGTCCCCATCTACATCAATGGAATTGAGGTTGAAAGGGTAAAGATCGTCAAGTTCCTCAGAGTGATGATAATGCCAACCTGTCCTAGACTTCTCACATAGATGGGACAGTCAAGAAGGCACAACAATG